TGTTAAGAACAAAAGCACACACACACGAATAGAAAGCAAGAAAGCAATAGAGAACACGAGATTTAACGTGGTTCGGTCTAATCTGACCTACATCCACAGGGGCAACTAGGGTTTGTATTATTGAGTGATAATGATTACAAGTACAGGAGATCATATATATAGACAACTAATTAGGGTTTAACCCTTGCTGGACAAGTTATAGCAAACTGGGCTTAAAACCATTTGGGCCGGCCGAAACCCTAATCTGGTCTCCTAATTCTCAGTTGTCTATAAGTGGGCCACTTTGGGCCGATGACTACACATCACCAACAAGATGATGCCCCACATCCTTCGTGACTTAGCCTAGGCAGACAGCCAAACACATGTGAAAGGGTACCTAACATGGGGAGGCTCCCAATTAAGGCATATGAGGGCCAACTGGCCACTCCAGAATTCCAAGCACACTACATTCGGTGCTATGCTAAAGAAGGCAAGATAAAGGGCAAGCTGCATCGTGGAACAACAAAGTGAGGAGATAGCACAACGGGCTGTGGATAATTCTGGAAGCGTGCAAGACTTAAATTAGAAAGTATAGATCTATGAGTATCATGCCCATGCATTGATTTAAGCTGCTATAATCCTGCAAAACATGGTGGATTCATGTAGATGATTGTTGGAGATAAGAGAAAGTTCTAGAGTTGGAGTATCCCAAAGGATCAAGAAGACTTTAGAACAAGGTATGAATGTGTAGGATGATGATTGAGAGCACTGGAATTCTCCGTATTGTAAATATTCTGTAAGAGTTGTTTAAAGATTTCTAAAGAAATCTTGGTTGTTAGATCAAGTATATTACCACCATCATTTGAGGAGGTGAAGTACTATAAATACCCCGTGGGACTTTCATTTATAGGTTTGCAAGGTAGACAGAATTAAGGGTAGTGAAAACAGTGTAGAATTTGTTTCGAGTGTAAGACTCAAGATATCTGAGAGTAATGAACACAAGTTTACCACCAAGTTTGTGTGTATCCTTGCAGTGTGTTGTTTCACCCCTAGGTATACATGTGTAGTGCGAGTGAGAGGTTGGCATATTGAAGGTGGCATGTGAGCTTGTTAAGAAAACACATTCACGATAGTGTGGTGCCTTGAAGTGTTAAGCATGAGCAAGAGGTTAACTTAGCGACCGAGAGGGTCGAGAAGACGAGAATATAACTAAAGGCGTTGATGAAGCAAGCCCGTGATGACGTGGTGCCTTCAATTTGATCGTGGCTTGTGTTCAATATAATGAGAATGTTTTCAAACCCAATTGGAATTGCTTATAGCTTTTCAAAAGTGATGTTGAGCAATTTTAGTGTTGGTAGTGGTGTTAAGTGCTCGAATAATAAATTCTCCCCACTTCCGAGAGCCAAAAGTGATCAACAACTTTCTAGGCTCTGTTTTTTTATGATAATGTGGTGAATGATAATATTATAATTAATGTGTAGTTTTTTTTACAGTTTCGTCCCGGTATATCTTGAACCTAGCTCCTCCACATGGATGTTTTTTTGGTCTTTTAAGCAAACAGTACTCTTATAAGCAATTTGTGTTGCAAACACTCTAAAACACTTGAGGAATTATCTGCATCAAATTTTAGAAACATTTTCCACTTTTACCTTTGCTTAAGTAACCATTTTTTACACCATAAGAGAATAATAGAAAAAAAATTAATATTTTGAAAACACTCCCTCTGTATTTTGAAAACACTCCCTCTGAGTTAGCTGATCAATGAGTATTATGTCATTTATGTGTGCATGGTATTGCTGGCACAGCCAGTATTTCCTGCATTTTTAGATAATCACTATTCATGACTTGTACTCAGTATTATGAGTGATTGATGAGACTAATGTGTCGACTTGATATTTCAATGTTCATAATATATTATAAAAACAAATATTAATTTGAGAGATATCTTTAACACTATGTTTGGTTCAAGGAATTCGGAAGGGAAAGAAAAGAAAATGAGTTTCTCTCATTTTCCTCACCAAAATGGAAGGAATTTGGTTTTCCCTCTTCTTAGTATATTTTACCTTTTCATTTTCTTTTCCATCCAGTTTTCTTTTCTTTTCCTCTCTAACCAAACAAGAAAAACTGTTTTCCATCTTAATTTCTTTTCTTTTCCCTTTCAAATTCCTTGAACCAAACATAGTGTAAAAAAACAGATAAAAAGGAATTGTGCTCCCTTTCCTCATGCCTTTATTTTCTTTTTATGAATGTGAAATTTTTTCTTTCATGAATGTTTTGAATTTTACTGCATGTTCAATATATCTGATAATGGTTTTTTTCTTCTTAAATTTGTTTTAAATCCAGAGCTTGACAGCAATTGAATTTTCATGTACTAAATTGATCGCTCTTTCCCTAGCTGGTTGCCGTGGTTTAAGATCTCTTAAACTTAAATGCCCTTATCTTCAGCATGTATCATTAGATGGTTGTGACCATCTCGAAAGAGCTTCCTTTCGTCCTGTAAGTAGAATCATCCATTCTAACATACTATACATTTAAATTTATGTGATGTTTACTTTTTCATTTCTAAATAGACAATCCAATTCTTCACAGGCTTTGAACATGGATTATTTGCATCTTCTCACTAATGCTTCCACCTCGGGAATTATTTCAACCATGTCTTAATGTTAAGATCTCCCCATGGAACTTATATTTTAGGCCGTGTTTGCTGTGGTTGCTGATTTTCAATTTATGGCCTTAAGATTTTTAAAGTTACATGATACAAGTTGTATGTTGAATCGTAACTACTCATGCTTTTAGCCTTAAGCTAATCATGCTAATTTTGAAATTGCAAACAGAAAACTGATCGCCCTACTTTTTTTGGTTTCCAAAAAAACTGAAAACTTAACACATAAACCACCATGAATGGGGGCTAAGCAATGTTCGAAGTTTCTGACAAGTCTACAATGCTTTTGTTCAGGTTGGTATTAGGTCTCTTAACCTTGGAATATGCCCCAAATTGAGTGTGCTGCATATTGAAGCCCCACAAATGACATCTCTTGAGCTGAAGGGCTGTGGTGTACTCTCTGAAGCATCAATTAATTGCCCACTCCTGACCGCTTTAGATGCTTCATTTTGCAGGTTATTTTGCTACTTTTTCCTGGGCATTCTCTTGGTAGGGTCTAGCAGTGTTCTGAAAGGCATCCTAGGCTTTAGGTGGCACTAGGCTTCAATTACTCTTGTTCAATGCTGTCTAATTGTGTGTTTTTGTTTTGTTGGTTTCTCTTTTTAAAGATGATTGAGAGTGGCTTACCACATTCTATGACACAAACTCATGATACATCATGTGTTGATGAAGCTTTTTGCAATTTGAGCTAAATTTTGTGGCAGTATCCCTTAATATTTGAGATTTGAACTTTTAAAGACTCCTATGATCAAAACAATGTGTTTTTGTAATACTCATCATTCATCAAAATTTAGTTGTCTTTATAAATAAAAATGAGATATTGTTTAGGTTTTATATTAATCGCAGAGTACTTTCTGTATTAGTATATTGAGTTTTTCTTGAAGTATATTTAATTATATCTAAATGATTTATTGAGATAAAATATTTACACATTTCAAACATTTGACTTAATAAAATCTGTATAAAAGATGTGTGCACATATACTTGAAGTTCTAGTTTTTTCAAGGCCAGATTAATCCCTGCCTAGTGCCTGGTAGAACAATGGGACTTAGTTTGGCAATTATTCACTTTGTCTTGTCCTGTATCGTACTGACTACTGACGTTGTTGCTGATTTGTCTTTGCTGTATAGCCAACTTAAGGATGACTGTTTGTCTGCAACAACGACATTGTGCCCTCTCATCAAGTCATTGGTATTGATGTCATGTCCATCGGTTGGCTCTGATGGACTATTGTCTTTACGTGGGCTTCCAGATTTGACCTACCTTGACCTTTCATACACCTTTTTGGTCAATTTGCAGCCTGTTTATGATTCCTGCTTGCAGTTGAAGGTACTTCTATTGTAGTGAACTTTTTTCTATTTTTAATATTTTATAGTTTTATAAAAAGCATTTTTTTGCTATTTGTATATGCACATTAACTGTTGGCAGAGCAGTATATGCATATTTTTGGGAACCCTGCTGTCTTTACGCATCACATCTTTGTTCCCCTATCATTAAATGGGAAGAGTATTCACTGTAGTTTATTTGTGCATATCTTACTTCATGGGTCATTTGGAAACAACCACTCTATGCTTTAAACATAGGGGTTAGGCTGCATTTATTCGACCCCCCTTACCCCGCAATGGGCAGGAGCCTTTGAGGTACTGGGTAATGTTGTTGTTACTGCATTCTTTTATTTAGTTACCTACCTTTCCACATTTGATGAATTATTATGCATTTATATTGTTAAAACCTGCCAATTCTTGTTTTACTTGATGTCTCTAGGTATTAAAATTGCAAGCATGCAAGTACCTTAGCGATACATCGTTGGAGCCTCTTTACAAAGAAAATGCTCTTCCGTCTCTTATCGAGTTGGACTTATCTTATGGGACACTCTGCCAGTCTGCCATTGAGGAATTGCTTGCTTTTTGTTCACATCTAACCCATGTCAGCTTGAATGGGTGTATGAATATGCATGATTTGGATTGGGGTGGAAATGGAACCTCTCAAATGGACTCAACGTTTTCGCCAGCCTTATGTGACATCCACTTTTCAGACAAACGCCCAGCAAATCGTTTTCTGCAGAACCTCAATTGTGTTGGTTGTCCTAACATCAAGAAGGTGATGATTCCCATGACACGGTGCTTCCTTCTATCATCACTAAATCTATCCCTTTCTGCAAATTTGAAGGAAGTAAATGTTGCATGTTCCAACTTGTCTTCTCTCAATTTAAGGTACTTATAAAGTAGTCCAATTGCTATTTCTTCAGCCATTTTTTATCAGTCGACCAATGCGGTTATAATTGATAAATCATTTTCTTTGTCTTCAGCAACTGTTGTGCCCTGGAAATCTTGAAACTTGAGTGTCCCAGATTGAGCAACCTATTTCTTCAGGTAAACACATGTTTCTATTCACAAGCTTTTAATTAAGAGAAATTTGCATTCTTAGGGCTTGTTCTCTTCACTTGATTGTAGTTACATTTAAAACTGCCTGATCTGATTGTAGTTATATTTAAAACTGTTAGTGATCTAATTGTAGTTATATTTGAAACACATCTGATCTGATTGTAGTTATATTTATATAACTGTTTTTGATCTGGTCTGATCTGATTCTAATAAGAATAAGTTGAAGAGAACAAGCTCTTAGAGCATGTTTTCTTCAATTTATTTTTATTACTTACAGAGTATTACCTTTTCTTATTGGAATCAGAAAAGGTGAAGAACTTATTCCATTCAAATCAGGTGAAGAGAACAAGCCTTTAGTCCCCCAATTTTTTGCCATTATGTAATATGAGGCATGTATTCGTTTTAATTTTTTTTGTAAATTCATCCCATCAATTGTTACTATAATTTAGATACTATTAGTCCCTCTTAAAACACTCCTTTTACACATTAAAAAACACAGGTTTATGGTGGCACTCTCAGTGTTGATGTATTGACCTATTCCCAATTTCTACTACACAACCCGTTCTCAAGCCCCAATGATGGCCACTAAGGCCTAGTAGCCAACTCACCTGAAGTATCACGTCTTATACTTAGTAATATAATAGGATTCTAGTCTCTCGCAAGTAGCCCTAGCAGCTAACCCATTTCACACTTTACAGCCCCCTCCTTCCCCTTCTTAGTTAGAAAAACTCGCCAATACTGGCTTCAATGTTGGGAATAATCCGAGTAGATAAACGCAGCGGAAACACGAAACACACAAGCACAAACGAGAAGAAAAACGACACGAGAATATAACGTGGTTTGGTCTGTGTGACCTACTCCACGGGTTGCAACTAGGGTTTCTCTTTATTCAGGTGTGAAGATTACAATTACATAGCACGGTGTTTATAAGACTAATTAGGTTTAGCAAAGCTTGGGCAACAAGATTACAATAAACAGGCCCAAAGGCCATTAGGGCCGGCCTGACCCAATTGCTCATCTTTTGCCGCACCAGGCCAAAGGCCCAAAAGGCTTCACACCCTACAATCTCCCACTTGAAGCCTTTGCGCATTCTACATATTCCATCCAAGCAAGCATAGCACTAGTAACTCCAGTAATCTTAAAACAAGTTCTTCAAGCCTCAGTTCCTCAGAACAAGCTAAAACTCCATGCTATATCCCCCTAGTTGCAACCGCCCCTCTCATTAAGTATCCGAAGGGCCAGTTGAAGCTCCTCCGAGCTCCAACTCACCAGTCTTAGCAGACCCATCCTTTGTCTCATCCGGCTTGCACAATCCACCAGATCTAGAGATACACCAATTATCGGTTACCACTCTCTACATCATGCAAACTATCCAAAGGAGAGAATTTTCCTGTCGGAATCTTTTTCTTCAAAACCCAACGGTTCTTATCCAGAACGCATCCCATGCTCCCACTGTCCCCAAATCCTCTAAGTGGTTTAAACTTCCCAACACATTCAACTGACATCCCGTGGCTCCAGGCTTCACGTTTGCAAATTGAACCCTCTTACGCCGACTAGATTCAGTGAAACAGACTTTGTTTTGCTTAACCAGGACGGTCACTCCCTCAGCAGGTACCTCTACCATATACAACGATCCCTGTCTCTTTCCACGAGCAATCATCAGATTCCCATCTATCACTTTCCATTTTCCACCACCAAACTTGACATCTAGTCCCTGTTTATCCAGTTGACTAACAGAAATAAGTTTCTTCATCAAGCCTGGAATTACCCTGACATTCTGTAGGTTCCATTTAGTACCCAATGGAGTCTTCAGATTAACATCTCCCATGCCCGTTACTTTAAGAATTTCACCGTTGCCTAACCGTACCTTTCCAAAGTCTCCTTCTTTCAGATTCGCCATCGTTTTCCCGTTGTGTGTGGCGTAAAACGAAGAACCAGACTCCATAATCCAAGAGTAGATAAACGCAGCAGGTGGATGAATGAACAGTAAAGGAACCCGGGCGCTCTGATACTAGTTGTTGGGAAGTATCAGAGTAGATAAACGCAGCAGAAACACGAAACACACAAGCACAAACGAGAAGAAAAACGACACGAGAATATAACGTGGTTCGGTCAGTGTGACCTACTCCACGGGTTGCAACTCGGGTTTCTCCTTATTCAGGTGTGAAGACTAATTTGGTTTAGCAAAGCTTGGGCAACAAGATAACTATAAACAGGCTCAAAGGCCATTAGGGATGGCCCGACCCAATTGCTCATTTTTTTCCATACCAGGCCAAAGGCCCAAAAGGCTTCACACCCAACATTCAAAGTGTCATTGTAAAAGTAATCCCACCAACATAAGTGGAAGAATCTATTTCTTTTGGCTGTGCTAAACCCAAAAAGCCCCTTGGTTTTTTCTTATGGATTTCCAAGCCAAGATTGTGTGTTCTTCCTATTTATACTTGTTTTGTATGTTCTTAGGCCTAAGGGCTAAGGTAGTGTTTCTTCATTTCCAGAACCTATAAGAAACTTTATGAAAACCATTCTTCCACCAGTTTACACTAAAAAAATGATGTTTCCCTGTGTTGTGTGTTTCATACACATTTTATGCTAATTTCTGTTTCTTAGTGTTGAAAATAGCAACATGCTATTTCTTACTCCATAATCCATATTTTACTTCCATGGTCGGTATTCCTGATGTTTGTTTTTTTCACTTATACCTGTTTTGCTTTTTGGTATTTGATCACCAGTCGTGCAACATTGATGAGGAAGCAGTGGAAGCTGCCATATTCGGGTGTACCTTGCTAGAGACACTCGATGTCCGCTTTTGTCCAAAGGTGAAATCCCTCTATTCCTTTTTTTTATATTACTATTTTGTGCAAATATTCAAATGTATGCGCGTCAATATTTACTACCGAGTCCAAATAACACACTCTCTACTTGCTTTTCTGGTTTGGAATAGATATGCCCATTGAGCATAGGCAAGTTACGAGCTGCGTACCCATGTTTGAAGCGCATCTACAGCAGCCTGGCTCCTGCTTGATGCTCTCCATGTCTACCTCTCTGGTTCATGCCTTAGTCGATTTCCAGTTCTCCCATATGTTTGTGCAATTGTGAAAGAGATCCAAGGTGTGTTCTGTTCATCATGTAACTGCACATTGTTGTGTTTAAAGAATAATACAGTAGTAATAGTAATAATAACAATAATAATAATTATAGTGCCTCATGCCTGTTTATCAAATTCGAATAATACCGTAGTATATGCCAATACGAGTATTATTACTCTGCAACTTTTTGATTCTTTAAGAACCAAACCATTTGTAGTGTATATATATGTAAGTTTCTTGTAGTCTGAGAATAATTATTGAAATATGAAGCTTTGGTCTTTTATCACTCTATTGCAGTTGTTCTGTGTATACTACTAATTGGTCTTCTATTTTCTCAAGTTAGGTTCTTCTCAAACAACCTCTTTACTTTTTTATCATTAGAGATATGATCTTTGTACACCCACTTTTGGGGTTTCACTAGATAAAAAAAATGCATTTCACATATGACACCCTAATGAAATTAAATTCTCATTTTACCCTTCACATTTTTACCCCTCTTCTTTTCATAAAACAAACTGCAACCCCTCGGGGTCCTCTCCGCGTCCCTTAGAAGGAAGAAGACCCAATGTTCTGCAAGAGTTGTATGTCTATTTCCCTCGGTGTCCTCTCCACGCCCCCTCGGTGGCTTCACAAGAACCATGGTATATATGCCTATTTCCCCTCTAGCAAGCATATCTATGGTGGTGTTTGGGTTCAAATTTAGATGCTTGCAAGATGGAGATGGAGAAGGAAACAAGAATGAGGCTATAGAGTTTGAATAGTAAGATGTGGATTTTATTTAAGTTTTTATGGAAATGGAATTTGGTAGGTGGCAAACACCAATCCGATCCACCTCCAAAACAAAGATTAAACTCTGCCCCGACTTATAGTGCTTGTTCAATATTCAGATGGTCAAATTTATTTTTTTATATCTATTTTTTCTACTCATTTAATAAAATAACATAGTAATGTCACATGTTATTTTGAAGAATTTTTTTATATAGTTTTTAAATATGTAATTTTTGTTTTTTAATTTCACCGTAATCTTTTGATTGATTAAATTATAAATAATTTTGACAAAATATCGTAAATCAGAACAGACATTATAAATTGGGACGAAACGAGTAATTACAAAATTATACGGAGTAAATATTGAGAAAAAAAGTAAACTAGGGGTAAAACATTGAAAGCATATCAAAATTGGACTATCATATTTTTATTCTCGAAGTAGGAGTTCAAATGCGTTTACATTATGAAACATAATCATGTACATTACCAAAATGTATACTAATGCACACATGTACAATGTCACATTACCACCATATTACCACGGTGCAAAGTCTTATTTCGGAAATAAAAACATGAAAGTACTATTTTGATACTTTTCTCTATGTTTTAGTCCTATTTAGGGTGCTTTTATAAATTTTGTAGATGTGATTAACTGATTATTGTTAGGACTTCATGGAGTGTAATGTGTTCAAAGGTTGAAATTGTATAGTTAAAGTTTATTTGGAAGAGAGAAATGTTGATATCATAGAAAAAAAATTAGTGGATTTTTTCTTTTTCTATTGTTTTGTGGAATTTTTAATTAATTTTTAAATGACAATGTTTTTAGTCTAGGTGATTTTTTCTCTCTGTGTTTTTGTTTTGTTTAAACGAAGTTATCACTTCTAAAGTATTGTGTTACACATTAATTTCATACTCAACATTTTAGTCTTGTATTTATAATTAACCCAAACATAAATCTCGTGCTCTAAAATGTGTTTTTCACTGAATTACATCTATCATTCCCAAATTTTATCAATTACTTCGTATATTTTCAAAACTTTGGAATTTTGAGATGTATGAATTAGGACATAATTTTGACATAAAAACTATATCAAAGGTTGTATAAATGCGCGACTAATATGTTGAATATGAAATAAATGTGTTCTCTCTACGTTAGAAATACTAATAACATTTAAGAATTATTTTCAAAATAAAGTTTTTTTATAAGAATGACTTTAAAAAATTGCAAGAACCAAAAATAAAATTCGTATATTTTACTGAGATTAAAAACATATTTAACCCTTTTTAATTATATTATTAAATTTATGGTTTTGAGTTTATACTAATATTTGAATGAATGGCATTGTAAATTATTTAAAGTCCTATGTCTTCTAAGACCAAAATATGAGTATAATGGCAGTGCAGTGTAAGATTACGTAGTGGCAGTGTGATAGAAAATTGATGACAGTGTAATATGTCAGTGTGATCAGTCAACCGTCAATGATCTGCAGCGCCAATCTGGTGGCCAACGATGACAGATGACAGTGTGCGCTGATAATGCGACAGTTACAATCTAAAAATGACAGTGTGCGCTGATAATGTGACAGTTACAATCTAAAAATATGATGAGTGTAATAGTGTACCAATGACTCTGTGAACTTCTATTTTAATCTTGAAATGTACTCTCATAATTTTTTGGTTGTGGGTGTTCTCACAACCCTTTTTTTCCACATGTTAGCTTGGACTAAAACATTGAACTCCATTTTATCGGACTGAGCCGAGTCGCTCCACTAATTTGGGCCGGGCCACGAGTATCTACGGAGTACATATATATAAATAAGTGTAGGGAAGATCTGTTAAATCAAATATTCATCTGCCGCCATCTGCCGCCAATTCCCGCATCCGCCGCCGTCGCTGGTAGAGAGAAAGAAACAATCAAATGGGAAAGGGAAAAGGGAAATCCAAGATTGAAATCAAGAAGATCCAGAGTCTGCCGGCCCGCAACGTCGCTTTCTCCAAGCGCAAGAAGAGCCTGTTCAATAAAGCGGCGGATCTCTGCCGCCTCTACCCGGGAGTCAAGATCGCCGTCGTCGCCATGTCTCCCGCCGGAAATCCGCACGTCTTCGGCGACCCGGCGGCGCTACTCCCGCCGGTGGAGTCTCAGGTTTCGAGTTCGGGAAACGCCGGCGGCGACGAGGAAGTCGAATGTATGATCAGAGAGCTGATGTGCGATGATTTTGATTTTTCCAGTGATGCGTTTTCTGGGGAAGTTCCACCGGAGATGGAGGCCGGCTATGATTCCGATGCGGAGGAGATTCGCCAATTACTGGATTGGGGCAACGGGGAGGATCAATTTCTTTTTTAGTACGGAGTAGATTTTATTACTATTCCCCAAATCTAAATTGTGATTATTATACTTGACCTCCGTTTGGTACCCGGAATTAAAGTCATGAAATTGAAATTAAATTTAGGGTTTCGATTCCAATTGTGTGTTTCATATAATAGAAATATGTATATTGAAATCAGAGAATTTAATTCCATCCAATTTAGGGTCTGTTTGGGAATAGCGTTAGAGATTAGCGTTAGCATTTTGGATAAAATTTTAACGGTGCAGATTGCTTTAAAAACGCTAACGCTAAACGCTGCCCATAGATAGCCTTTTCAAAACGCTAACACTAATAGCTAATGTTATTTCCAAACAGGACATTAATATCATAGAATTTTAATTTCGTGTACCAAATGAGCTCTAGAGAGAGTTTAATTAGCATTATCATTAGGTATTAATTAGGCCTGCATTTATTTTTACGAGTGTCAAGAACTCAAGATGTACTTCCCACTGGACTTGAATCTTTCTTTATCATTCTTTGTTCACTTTCATTCCACATTAGATTATTAAATCATTTTTTTCCCTTTGGAGTAGTATATTCCCAAATTATCTCCTTTTGTTTTCCTTTAAATATATAGTAGATAAAAATATTATTTACTTGAAGCATGTTTTTTTAGATTAGAACAAAAGAGTAAGATAATGGAAAGTAGAATTTTTTTTGTTTTTCTAAATGGAATGTCAGTATGTTTCAATAATACCTAGTGGGCAAAAAGGGTATTTTTATGTCTTAATAGAAAGAAAAAATTGACAAAAAAAAAGAAATTTAAAATTAAACTCTTTTGTCTTAAAATTTTATAAAGAGTCATGTTAGAATAACATCAACTTTGAAATCAGATACAACAATCATTTGTATATCTTGTGTGTACAGATTTAATTAAAATTGGTGTTAATCTAGCATTTTTTAATAATTTAATAACATGTTTGAGAATTTGAATATAGATAAAAAATTATTTTGATTTTAGACAAATTCCTTTCATTCTAAACAAAGTTCAATTAGAAATCAATATAGCTTGTCTTGAAATTCGAAAATTGAAATTCAAGAATTCAATATTTGAACTTGAAAAAGAAAAGATTGATATGAAATGTAAGTTCCCAAACACTACCTAAAGGCAAATGAGGCGTTATCCAAGTTAGCAGATACCCAAATATGGAGTATTTTTTCTATTGAGAGTAGGATACACAATACAACAACAATCAAGCTTTATCCCACTAGGTGGGGTCGGCTACATGGACCAAATGATGTCATTATACCCTATCAATCAACACTAAAAGACTACGGCCTCGTTTGGCATCAGCGTTAGATGTTAGCGTTTGTGTTTTGAAAAGGCTATCCGACGATAGTCTTTAGCGTTGGCGTTTCCAGAATTAATCTACACCATTAAAATTTTATCCAAAATGCTAACGCTAACGCTAATCGAAAACGTTGTTCCCAAACAAGGCCTACAGTTCAGGCTTAATATTATAACATTTTTACAATATGGATTCCAATTGCTTTAGATTTGAATCAACGATTGGAGGCGGTCGTGCTTCTTCTTCCTTGGAAGACTCCATATATGCATCAGCTATGGCCCGCCCTTGTTCAAGTACATTGGCTGGGACTGTTTTTAGAAGTCTGCAAATGAGAGTAATATGGAACAAATAAACTTTCCTTTTTTTTTTGCTGAATGGGGAAAATGAAGAAAATAATTACTCGTCTAGTGCATTGATTGCTGCAGTGGTCATCCCCTTCATAGATTGCACAGATACGTCCCCTTCATTTCTTGATGCATGTAAAAGCAATGAATCCAGTTCTTCCAATGATCTTCGTGAGAAAAGAAAATAGATTTAAAAGGTCTACCATGTAGATCGGGCACGGTTTTTTTTACATTGAGCTCCAATGTCATAATATGACTTTGGCAATTTCAACAACCTACAGTGTTCTAAATTGATGGTTCCTACCCTCCGGCCCCAGTGCACCCCCCGTACTCCCTCTAATTGCACTTCCAAAGTTTTGTTGACTTTGGGATCAGAATTTGACCTCAAAGTCAACAACATTTTTGGGGTGCAATTGGAGGTATGTGGGGTTGGGGGGTTTACAGAAGGTTTAGGAGGTAGGATTTATCAATTTTTTGATCGGAGCACCATAAGTGCCCAATGTCATATTATGACATCAAATTTCAATGTCAAAAGAACCGTGGTGATGTAGATCAAGCCCGTTCTTTTTTCACGAAAAATTACTTAATTACATTAAATTAGTTTCGAAGAGAGAAACGTTGTGAGTCATATAGTTCTTTCCCAAAAAGGAAAGGAGATGAGTATAAAGTTTATTTTGGGACTGAGGGGGTAACCGGTAACATATTAATGATCATAATGGAAGCAATACCTCAGACACTGATCAACTTCTCCAAAGGCTAATGTACCATTGCCATCCTCAGATGCATACTGAGCCACCTGCAATCGCGTATATGATTTAATCACTCTAATCACTTGACGTTTAAGAAATGAGTTTGCAACTTCCATCTCTAGTAGACCAGTACCAGAGCACAATATTCAGAAAAAATTATATTCATATCATTGTTCAAGAACAGTAAACTGAAAAGAAATCAAAGCTTTCCAACACTTTGTGTGAGATGATCAGGTTGGATATTTGATGCCTATCAGCCTACCATTCAATTTGAGAATTTATGTGCAGGCATCAAATAAAGTTGAGGTCAGAGAGGCGAGAAAAGAGATGACTTACTGCTCGAATATTAACACGAAGAGATGCAGCAGGACCAGAACGTAATAAACTCCTGCAGTCAGCATATTTTGGTTGATCGACTTCCAGAGATTTTCCTATATTTACAATTTGGCATGAATGCCATATCCATGAAATTATCCAATGCTATTGGAGTAGAGTAAGTAATACAGATTAAATGTTCTTTCACCTTAGGCTGAATTTTAGAACTGAAAGAAACAAAAATGATGTATTGGGCATATAGATGATAGCACTAAAATATCACATTTCGATTTTGGGATATATGCACCAAAGCATAGTAACCTTATTTTCAATCACTTTCGTTGAATTAGACCATTGAGACATAATGACATAAGAAGTAGAAATCAAGTGATATGGACTCTATCACATATTATTCTTTGTCAACCTCATTTCAATATGGAATGTATAAATCATGAAACAGAAACATAGAATTACCTAACTGTTTAATCTGAAATTGAGCTAATATCACAGCTGGAACATAAGCTTCTAGTGGTTCAAGCTTTTTCCTAAGCCAATAAGACACTGGTGAGAGTAGGTATATGATGGGTATAGAGACAAAGAAACAAGTCATTGAACACGCATCCAAATGTATCAAGATAACACCACATATGAATTTACGAAGTTTCTTGTGATAAATCCAACAAAGGGACAACATTAGAGAATTTCCAAGAACACCACATCATGAAATAATAGTTTTATAGTAGGAACATGTACAAGAAAGAGAAGAGTAACACTTGGTAAGTCAAGGTACATTCATCAACAAATTCCTTGCAACCATATATCCAATTGAAACTTGGGATTCCATTCTAAAAGGCCAACCTAAAACGAGTATTATTCCAAGGTACTATATTTCAGTTTGGGTTTATATACTCAACCAATGTAGGGAAACTTTCCAGATTCGAAATGCTGAAAATGAGATTCATATTTGATACCAAGATATTGATATAGTAATTCTCAAGATCACACATCACACAGATTTAGGAAAAGAACATCCAACACATGTTGAGACCGCGCGTACCCTCACCACAAACCCACATTAGTATGATATTGTCCCAAAAACATCATCCTAATGGGTTGCGCTGAACCTATTTATTTAGGTCCAATATTTTTTTCTCCACCGATGTGGGACTTGGGATACCTTTCCCAACACCAATCAATAATAGGCAAAAGCTTGTTTAATAACCCAATCAGTCTCAATACATGCCCACATATCAATGGCATAAATCAGAACTGCTTTAGAATACTCCTATCATATTTTCATTCTTAAGTTTGTCCACATTACATCAAAATCTGTGTTTAGATTCTGTTTTCAAAAAATCAATAAAATATGTGCAGCACAAATCTCTCAATCCTCCCCTTACCTTTTAACATAGTTATCGAAAATGCTGCCTCCTACTGCCTCTGCAAAGCCACAAAGTTTTCATCAAGCTTCTCATATTTTCATGAATCCAATTTCAATCATTTCATTTCAAATTCAAAAGAAACAGAGAAGTAAAAATCACGGGATTTCCCTCTGACACCCAAACACAGCCAGTTCTCTGCGCAATGCGCCTCCAAATCAAAATTAGGTTTCTCGTTAACTGAGAAGAAGGCGTACCTTTCGGCACTGATGACCAGTAGAAAAACGCGGCGAGAGAGATGGAGACCAGCCTCCTGCTCTCCCGCCTTTCCTCGGAGACCAGTGCGCAAATCAATCTCAAACTCCGCCGCTGTACTTTCGCCGGAAGCAAGCTCGCAAATTGCGAGCTATAAACGCGGGAACCTGGACGGCAGAAGCTTACTTGCGGGAGGGAGAAAGCCGCCGACATCTCGCCGGAATGTTGTTCTAGGAAGGGAAAAGAAAGAAAAATAGCCCTTATCCAACTCAGTTGTTTCTCCACCTGGAATTCATGTTTCTGTTCCCTCGTTAAAATAAATGCTACAAATAATTAAATAAAATTTATACCCCGAGTATTATATATTCATGTATTAATGATTTTATTAAATTTATCTTGTATAATATTTTTAAAATATTAATTTATTTAATAAATGTCTCTTGTAATTTTTTTTGTTATAAGTCAAATATGAATTTTGATTGACAATAAAAAATTGACAAATATTCAAAGGCGAAGAAAGTATATTCCAAAATGTTTTGATTTATTTTAATTTTGTTGTCAAATTATATTGCGATAAAACCGTGAAAAATGAAAATAAGAAAACTAACTTGAACAAAAAAAAGTATTATTTAAATAAAATAAATTGAGAATACTCAAAACAAAATCTGCCTTCGGTACAAATTGTAAACCATTTTAGGACATTTACACGGATAAAATAATGAATAATGTTAGGGTGTCACTATATGGGTGGTACCATGGGTGCATCCATGTTTTTTTAGAGACAAACACAAATAATAATTGTCTATGTCGCACAAACAATTAGCGTCTGTGCTTATATGTGCGAAACATGAGTTCACCATGATCGCACCCATCACCCATGTGGTGACCCTAAAATAATTTCAAACTACTCCAAGAAAAAGATGTCAAACTCATTGATTTTAAAATTGAATCTCAACAACATTGGGGGAAATTTTATTATTTATAATAGTTTTTTGTGGGTAACGAACACGATTACACGAGCTAGATTGTGGGGCATCCAGGTTGGGTGTACCACCACCTAAAATAATGAGCAATGCTAGGGGTACACCAAAGGTGTACCCCAAATGTACATCACTCCATTCTCCACCACCCATTTTTATTTTATTTTAATTTTTTTTTTTTGAATTTCTTGCCTTTTTTGTAGACAAGGAGGGGGTAGAGGACAAATGGGGTACACATTTAATGTACCCCTAACATTTTTTCTAAAATAATTTCAAACGGATGCTTTCTCTTTGGGTAATGCGTCATCAGATCTATAGGGGACTCGCGAACAACCCACAGCTACCAAACGCCTTTTTTCCATCTCTCTCTAGTTTCTCTCTCTCTCTCTCTCTCTCTCTTGTACTTTCTCTCTTCTTTTTCTCTCAAAACAAGCTTCGAAAATGGCGTCGGTCAAGTGGTTTCTTCTCTGCATTTTCTTCACCGCCGCTTCTGCTAATGTTCAAAGTGAGCTTATTTTTTCCTTCACTCTCCTTTGAATTTTCCAAAATTGCTCCTTTTTCCTGCTAGTGAATGGTCCTGCTATGCTTTTTGGCTGCTTTATTCTCATTGCAGTGTTTTCAGACTTTACTTAGGTTTTTGGTTCTTTCCACTTCATTCCATGGTGAACTATGAACACTGGATCTTGACATTTTCCAACCCTTAATTACCTAACTCAATATAGTAATGGAACTACAAGTCTATATGGTATCAGAACCACCTGCTAATTCAACCCCAAATTAGTATTTTTGGTTTTTGGAGTTCTTAGATCTCACATTGGATTGAGGGGAATCTCCAGACAATGAGATAGCTGAATCCAAAAGCTCATTGTGTCTAACTACACATTCTTATTGACATTATTGGTGTTTGCTTAAAATTCCTAGGTGAAGCCTGCGTTTACGTGATGTAATTTCTTGATCGAGTTTGATTGCCCTTTAAGGCTGTCAAACCGTTGGGTCGGGTTGTGTTCGGTTTATGGTGCTTTTGTATTGAGGTTGGGTGGTACTTGTTTCTGACCCAGAGTGTCCGCGTTCTTGTTTAGGCTCACAATCGGCGATAACAAAGTTGTTATAGTGTTTTCTTTCGTTGTTCTAATTACATGCCAAGAACCAACTCATACAAAAGTTGATGCGGTTGTAGGCCTCAAAAATAAGTTATTTACTCTAAGACAACCCATCACGCACAAACGAGTTTTGTTCTTGTTCGAGCCTTGCACGTGAACATTAGATTTTTAAAATTGGATAACGGTAAGATTTGAACTTGTGGGCTCTAGGAATACATTGTGAAGGAACTAACTCAACCAAAGAAGTTCAAGCTTTTGGTTGTAGTTGGCACGTGAACGATTTTATAACTGTGTTTCGATTTTCACTAGTTTTAAAGGCTATTATTAAATTACAATAGAGAAATACAATTTTTAAATGACAGAACTTATTGTGGTGATCTAAAACTATTATGAACCCTATGTTTTCCTGATGGGAATGCAGTTGTTAGAGTGACAGATAACCCTGCTGATCAGCTGGTAGATGTGCTGAACAAGAACAGGACCTCAAAGAAACTGCCTTCACTATACAGCAACCCTGGCCTGGCATGCATTGCCCTGCAATACATAAAGGCCTATCAAGGCGACTGCAAGGCGGTCGGCGGAGGCTGGGACTCCAAGAAGCCTCCGGAATCTGCGTTCCCCGACACGTTCTCCCCGGCGTGCGGCGTGGACGCGAACACCCTCTCGAGAATAACGGGCCGCTTCCTCGGGTGCCAGTCCGAGTACGTGGGCCCCGCGCGCGCGTTCTCGGACATCCTCATCAGGAGCCAGAAGAGCTTTGGTATCCTCTACAGAAAGAACCACACCGAGGTCGGGGCTGCCGTGAGTGGCTCGGACGGCGGGGGCCCGTACTTCTGGTGCGTGCTGTTCAGCAACGGGAAGTCGAACGCGAGCTTCGTGTTCGAGGGGGGCGTGGCGAAGGCGTCGAAGCCCGGATGCTACAGTGGGGCCAACGAAGTTCATGTGTCTCCATATTGTTTTGGTTAAATACCATTGTTAATCAATCATAGGCTTTAGTAAGATTATATCATTTTTACCTTTGACTCACTTCATTCAATTTTTCCACCATGGTTACCTTCACGCGTGATGTTCTTTCCACGTTTAGCTCATTAGCTGTATATTCTTCATCAAGATTGAAGAATATGGGAGAGAAGAAAAGAAACTTTTTTTTCCTTTTTTGAGAAAATAGAAACTTAATGAAACTAACCAATTAAGGTTCTTGACACTTAACTGCTTCATGTTTTCAACAAATATTCCCCTTTCTTGCAAAAGGGTTTTATTTAAGGTTTATAGAGTTTGATTAAAGTTGTTTTGGTTTGAATTTATTTGATAAACAATGTAAAGCATAAAATATGTAGTAATTATATATTTAAAAATTACATTTACTTGAAGTAATGATGAAATCTTTATGGCTATTATATAAAATCATATTTTTTAATTATATATTTAAAAATTACATGTAAAAAATAGAGTAAAATTTCATTTCCTCTGTCATGATGAATTCTTTATAGTTATTATTCACGAAATCAAATTATTCTCTTTGAGACAAACATCGCCATCGTGGTGTAAAGAAATCAATACGACGGAAGCCATATAAAACAAGAAATGACATGATTATTTTATTTTATAGACAATTCACATGAATACTCAAAGAAATAGAGGATTTAACGATAATATTTTGAAATTCAATAATTGATATCACTGCTCACAGAAATTACTCATTTTTACACTGTTCAGGTTGACAAGTGCCAACTAAGCTAAATAAATATGTTACACTTTAAATGTTCACTAAGCAATTATAAGTATGAGTTGATAACTAATAAAAATACTCCCTTTGTCCAAAAAAGAATGTCCCTTTTCATTATTCAAAAATCACAGAAAGTTTTTTTTATTTGTGCATTTTCAGTGATTATTTGATAAAATAAAATATTGATTGATTATAACTAGAACCCTCCCCCATTTCAAAAATATAATATTAAAATACGATAAACTTAAAAAATCAAATGCATTTATATTGTAATAGATAAATTGTGAATAATGTTTTAGAAAAAAATCAGAAAATTTTAAAAAGATATGTCTCAAAAAGAGAAGTCTGGCGATATATGTTGTGAAAGGATGGAAGTCATGGATATCAAAGTATGATCATTTTTAAAGTATAAAAAAGTGGGAAATAAAACCGAACTAGTTAGACAATTATTTAAAAAGTAAAATGATCAGAAAGAATCATAAAAATACTTTGGTATATCTTATCAAACTTCCATCCGTTTATTTTAAATTTTTTATTCTTATCATTCTGGTTATTGAAATATTTGTCAAACCAATTCATTTTTAGTTTTCACTTTTTTTACTTTCAAAACCGTTATAACTTTAAATCTCTAGCTCAGAAACTTTCAAAAGATTGATATACCATTGAATTTTTTCCGATCAATCAAACGAATATAATTTTAATTATAAAATATCACTCCCTCCGTCCCTCAGTTTTTGTCCACTTTCATTTTTGCACACCATCCAATGCACTTCTTTAATCCATTTTATCTTGTAATTTGTATATTAAAAAATTATAGAAATTATATATTAATAATTTATATGTTAAGACAAATCAAACAAGATCACACATGACTATATTTAGGTTTACACATTGAGAGAATTTGATGAGTCAAAGTGCTTAGATGAATAGTTCCAAAAGTCAAAAGTGGACAAAAATTGGGGGACGAAGGGAGGAGCTTTTAAAAGTAGTTTTTGTCTAAAACACTATTCATAATTTATGTGATTAAAATATAAACTCATTTAAGTTTTTGCCACGTTACTAGTTCCTAATTTGTATTCATTGATTCTTAGGGACCAGAGTATGAAGACGGGACCAACTGATTCTGTAAAATACTACGGAGTACTCCGTAGAATCTATCAAGAAGGAATCAAACTCAAATCACACCTAAATCAATTCCAAGTCCTTCACTTTCTATCAGATTCAGCAACCAAAATCCCCTCAACAGAGTTCTTCAATGGCGTCTTCATTGGTGCCCTTGCCTGTGACGACCTTATGCACTCACAGATCTTCCAAGTGCCGCATCTCGAGTTATCCTCTCCAGCATCCTCTGCAAATCCATCTTCTTCGCCCATATACTCGACGAATCAGTGATAGGACTCATTTTAAGAGATTTCTGTTCTTCAGCCCTTTGGCTTGTCATCAAAAGCTCAGACCCGTTGCCGCGGGGGATCCGGATGTACCTGGGAACATTGATCAGGTATATGTCACCTTTTGTTTTCAACTCAGCTTTGACAACAGTTGTATGTTTTAGTATTTAGTTGTCAACTATGTCTAGGTCTCATGGAGTCTGTGTGTCAATAGTTGATTTTTGATTTCTTCAATGGTGGAATGGTTGAAAAGTTGAAATTGTGTTTTTCAATCAGCAGTTTGCCGGTGTTGATCTAACAGCCAAGTTCAGGCAACACATTCTGTATTGTGGAAGCGCAATGAGATGAGTTTCATCAATGTTGAATTAGAATTAATTGGTAAACCATGAAATACATTAGAAGATGGTAAAATACCTTATAGGACTTAGATTTAATTGAAATGAGACAGACCTGATAATGAAAGATTAGATCTGGAGCTATCATTGATCCCATGGGCAAAATGTAGTAAAAATATCAGTTGACGTCTAAATCTGGATGTGCCACTATAGTGAAGGACTAAATCTGTTTTTAACTTCCTTAAAAAAACTGTTAGACTCACTTTATAACCTATAGGAACTAAATCCTAAATGCCAATACCATTTTTGACACCTAAAATGGGAAATGAATAATCACTTTCTTCGTCATTATATTTGTACTTTATCTTGCATTTTATGAACCAATCAAGTGTCATTGTATCATATAAATAATGATTTAACCAGTGATGACAAATGCAGGGATCATATGACTTGCAAAACAGTGATAAATTTAAGCAGTGGGATTCATTAACTGCAAAGTTTGCCGGAGCTGCAAATGTACCATTTTTAGTGTTGCAACTTCCTCAAATCATACTGAATGCTCGTAATATTATTGCAAGGAATTATTCTGCATTGTTTGCTGTTCCCTGGCTGGTAATACTCTCTCCAGTCATCATCATATTCATAACCCTTTACTTATAAGAAAAGGGGGGATTTGTGTAAGGCTGATGATAATAGTGCTACAGGGGATGCTCACTGGATTGCTAGGGAATTTGTCTTTACTATCATACTTCATAAAGAAGAGGGAAAAGGAAGCGGCAGTGGTGCAGGCATTAGGAGTTGTGTCAAGTTATGTAGTGATCTCACAGCTTGCAGTGGCTGGAGCTATGCCTTTTCCTCATTTTGTAGCCACATCATTCATTGTTGCTTGTGGTCTTATTATAAATTCTATGAATTACTTTCACTTGCTGAACCCTGGAATATGGCACTATTGGGAAGACTTTATAACCATTGCAGGTCTCTCCGCACTTCCACAAGTAATTCATCGAGTCTCATTTTTTACACATCTGACCTACTACATTTTTATGGCTTCTATTCCTTCAACTGTGAGTGACTATGTACAGGTCATGTGGTCAACCTTCCTCCCATTGGTTCCAAACACAATCTTGCCGGGTGGAATATCTTTTGTAGTTGCAGTGACAGTTGTGCTTATGGTAATCATTAATGACTTTATGCTGATAAGTTTAGAATGAGATCATACCCTACTTGTATTTCTTATTTTCCATGAATATCATGACTGATAGTCAAAATAGAAAACAATTCACCCCCAAATGTGGGAAGTGGTGTACTTTCGTTAATTGAAGTTTAGAAGTGTGGTGTATCTATCTTACTCGTGAAGTCGTGACAGAAGAGATTATGACACAGGTCTCATTTTTGTGATATCTTCCATTTTCCAATTTCCATGTTCTGGATTGATGGAGAATAGACATTGTTGCCTCATTTCTCTTCTTCACATTTTGAGTGTGTGGATGTGATATCCCTTAAATTCGTGTGTAGACACACAACTTTTTAGTGGGATGTGCTTGACATTCGGTGATGTTGTGTGGGGGGGGGGGGTTGTGCAAACGTATGAGCTACTTTTGACCCTTAGCTTGGGCATAGGCTTGCCTATCAAAGATGGGGAGTGCTAGAAACCAGTAAGGTTCTAAGGTCTTCATTGCCTCCGTATCTGCTTGGACCAGTTTTGGTGCATGTTATGACATAACTTCTTGGTGAGGTTGTGGCATCGTGCTTAAGCGAACCTATCTTTTTCCTAATATGTTTTTTGAGGTGTATCTTGAAGCTATCTAACTATTTTGGAGTGTCGGAGTCAAGATGTATGCAACCTTACCCCTACAGAGAGGTTGCATCCGTTTGACCCTTGGTGCATTGCTGCATTCACTTCTCCAAACTTCATAGAAAGAAAGAAGAAAAAGAAGTATAATGTGCAGTTTTGATTTAGTCTATTATTTACCCGAACCTAAACATTGTCAATTGGCATTGGACGCTCTTGAAGACGATGTTGAAATTGCTGTTAACATGAGTTGTGTCATAAATGACCTAGTCCTGTGTTGGATATATGTTGAAGATATTTCAGGCATAGTTCTCTTTTTGTGGAAAGCTAACTGAGAATAAAATTCACATAATCAGCCCCTTTGGTTTTGCTCTAACACCCCCTATCTGTAAAGTTGATTGTGATAATTTGATCAATACGACAATATTCACATTTATATTTTAATTGTCAATTCTCCAAATATGAAAAAGCTAAGCATTGTATAGGCCTGAAATTACAGAGCATCTTTCTTGAATTAAGTGTATAATCTAAGGAGAGTGGAAATTCATCATGAAGGCTTCTTTGAATTTATTTTATTTACATTGACAGGCTCGAATGGGTAAGCTGCCAGAGAAAGGTGTGGAGTTTGTTGCATTACTCTCTGCATGGACTGCAACACTTCTTTTCATGTGGATGCCAGTTGCACAAATGGTAAGTTTCGTGTAGTCAAAATTAAATTTTAAATAGAACTTGAAGTAATTTTGACTATTGCTTCTTGTGCAGTGGACAAATCTCCTTAATCCTGATAACATTAAAGGATTATCGGCTGTCTCAATGTTGCTGGCCATGATTGGTAATGGACTAATGATTCCTCGGGCACTCCTCACTCGGGATTTCATGTGGTACACACACATAATTAACTTTTAATGTTGTTTTCTAAAGTAGATCTCTGCCTAATAGGAATGTGATATCAA